GCCTTGTAAGAGTGGCGGAGGAAGGGGAGACCATCAGCTGGGTAGAGGGGAGTCGCAAATCCCCTCCCCGGCTTGGCAATTACTCCCTCCTGAAGATGCCTGAAGTGGTGGTCTAAAATGACAACCCTGAAGGGGAAGATTAGACTGGAATAAGATTGTGCAGGAGAGAGAGAAAGAAATGAACAGCAGGAGAAATGGGACAATATAATTAAATGGAAGATACCCCCAGGATTAACATTTCAAAGAATTTTTAAGAAAGGATTCAAAGTGGCAAAGAGAAAGAGGAAAAAAATGAGTGAATTGTTTTTGACAGCGGTGGGGCTTTGAACCATAAAAGGTAGAAGCTGAGAATCATATAATCAATTTGGATAAGTATATTTTGATTCTATATAGGCAGTATAAAGCTGAACTATAGATTGTTAAAGAAGAAACTTAATATTAATTGGATTTGATCTTTTTTTTCTGGAAAACTGTGGTTTTAAAAAGCTCTGAATAATAGAGAAGAAAAAAGAAAAGAGGGGGTGAAGAATTATCATAACAAGGAGTGCCATCTAAGCTAAACTTAATTTGTTTTTCTTTTAGAAGACTCTGTTTCTTAAAACTGTATGAAAAAAGTAAGAACAATAAAGTAAGAACTTTGAAAAATTGAAACATTGTAACAAAGAAAGAAATAGGAAGATTCTGCCCTTGGATTAATTGTTGATTCTGATATAGACTTGGCATTGGAGGCTTAACACTTGAGAGGAAATAAACTTTAAAGACACTATTTGGATTAAATTGCTAATTAGAAAGTTGTAAAATGGCGATATCTCTTCTGGCATTAAAAATGGAATTTAGAAAAATGAAAGAAATACTACAAGAACGAGGTGAATCGCTGAGTTTTGCTTTAAAATTTATTGAAAATGCAATTGCAGAATATGAACAACACAGACAAAAGGCAGAAGAGGAGGCAGAACAAATTATAGAAGAGGCCATTTTTAGTGATCATTGAGAATTGGAAATAAATATAGGAGATTGAAGAAATTCAATGAAAAGGGGAATATCCGAAAAATTTAAAAAGGGAAAAACAGTCAGCAGAAATTCAAAGGGCGGAAGAAAGCTATAAATAGAGAGGGTGTTAAAAACTGGAGTGAAAGAATAAAGGAAAAAAGAGAAGGGGAAAAGAGGGACAACAAACAGGATTTGGGAACAAAGAAATATGGAAATTATAAAAAAATAGGGAAATATTGCTTAATTAGACATAGAGATAATGGGTGATTAACATTCAGAAAGGGGATTCTACAAAGTATTGGGGGTAATATAAAAAAATTTATAGTTATGAAATAGGGACATATAGATTGATGAGATGGAAAACAGAATTGTTATTTTTTGATAATGGAATCTAATGATCTTCCTCTTTATGCATAGAGATAATTGTAACAAATAATGGAATAAGCTTATTAAATATATTGAAATATTTTTAGGATTGGAATGTTGGTTTTCTTTTTGTTTAAATATGAATGGAATAATTAATGGAATATGTGTATTAAATATACTGAAATAAATGAAATGATATAGGAGGAGAGCTGAAATGGAATTAACCTTAGGGTTTAGGATTGTTTCACTGTTTGAGTAGATTAATAGGTCCTTCTCTTTTGAAAAAATTAATGAAATTAAAAAGGGGGAAACCCATTCAGAATCTGATTTATATATGCTATGTAGTTTTAAAGGGATTATTAAGTTTAATGCTTTAGGTAATAATGCTAAATGTTTAATGGGATTTAAAAGGGGTGAAAATTAATGAATATGTAACTTAGAGGTGGCACTTATATTGATATTTCGGGGGGGAAACCAATTTATAGAAGAAGTGTTTTTTAACTAGAATGGAATATACAAATGTGACAGTTAAAAGTACTAAAGTATAATGATTATGAAGTTACTATAAGTGAAAAATAATGAGATAAGTATTTGGAATAACACAATAAAATAGAAAATGTATAAAAGCATTGTTAAGATAAGAAACTGGATATAAAATGGAATATGTAATTATGGTCATATTTGTATGTATATGTGAAACCTGTAATCAAGTTGTTCACTAAAAAGAGATGTTAAAATGTGGAAAACTGAATAAAACTTGTTTAAAAAAAAACAAGCAAACTAGACACTGCTCTTGAAATCACTGCCAAAAACCCCAATCCAGAATTCATCCAAAGCAATGAGACTTCTGAGTACATCATCTAATAATCTTCTGTGGAGTCCCTTTTACTCCGCAAAAGTCAGAAGTGTCAGTTAATTCCATATGAATCAGAAAATGATCTGGCTATGGCAAAATCTAAAAGAAATACCTTACATACTGAGATCACTATATACTACCTCAGAGAAGAAAATAAGGCCCAAGATGTCACCATCTCAGAGTGTTAAGCCAGACTAAGCCAATAATCACTGTAGAGGTCAAAAACTGTACCCAAACTCATTCCCAGGGCCTCAATTGAAATCATCCAATACCAAAAGGCCAAGGGGCTCAAGAAACCAGTCTTACTGGCTAGGAGAAGGACCTTCTTAGACAGCAGTATCCTTTACCTTGTCCCTGTGGCCCAACTTAACAGATAGGTAGATATTTATAACTGCCACCTCAGGAGCAGAGTCCCTAGGATTAGGCAAAGGGAAAAGAGAGAGAGAGATTGTTGTACTTTTAAGAATATGCAATATTACTGCAAACTCTGATAGATAAATGAAGAAAATGGCTGTGAAGGCATTTTATAAATAAGTACTGTTGTAGGAAGGTGGGAGAAAGGAAAAATTAGGTAGGATTATTTGATGGGGGAATAAGAAAACAGTGTTCAGTAGATAAAGTGCTGTATGGAGTTTTATTAGTTCTGTGCAAACAAAACCTTGTGGTCTACCAACCAGCAACAGCAATGTTATATCATGAAATACTGGCTGAATTCCTGCAAAGTTTTTAACCAGGTCAGGTATTGATTTAGCAGGTGCATTTGCACAATATGCTAACTTTGGTTGATATTTATCTTGATTAGGATGTTGTGGCTCAGTAGGCTGTGAAGGCTACCTCTTATCTTGAAAAATGTTTAGATTTATTCATTATTGTAGTTTGGATAGAAAGAAAACTAAAATAGTCATAATATATGACATAGAAAAACATATGCACCGCATGTATTTATTACTTTAGTATAAACTCCATAAAAGGGATCATAAATGCAAATTCTAGAAGTCATCTCCATCAGCCATTTAGTCATGTCCCACCCTTGACCACTCTAGGGATCAGCTCTCTTCATGCCTGTTCTGTTCTGCTTTGTTCTATTCTCCAATTCTAGAAGTATAAAAAAATTACAGCTCCCTGGAGAATGTCCTGGAGATATAGTGTGCCCAAATCTGAGTGTGGTCCTTAGATTTTGTCAGGTGCAAAAGACCAGGTCCATACATGAAGGCCCAATTAAACTGATTTATTGCTAAATGTCCTATGCACAAGAATCTATTTAGTTAATAGTCAGCACCCGCTTGGAGTTAGATAAGGGTTAACAATTCAAGGGGAGGTAGACTTAGTCTAATTATGGCTATGTAGAGATTCTAGACTGTTGCTTCATATGGCTATGTAGGGATTCTAAACTGTTGCCTCTCTTAACTCTGCCCCCAGGTTCTGTCACCCCTTCTTCTATAGAGGTTACATATTGCAGTCATAGCTGTCATGCCCAAAGCCAAGAATGACACCTGGTGATTCTTCCAAGCTGAGTTCTTTATTGATTCACACCTTTAGACAAAATCTTATCAGACTGAAGTCTCCATTTGCAACTGCAATATACTCTATGAACTATAAGGAAGGGGCTATCTTCACCCTCTTTCTCCCACACATAAAATCTGGAGTGAGTTGCCTCTTTTCTGGAATTCACCTCCTTCCTACATTTCATTACAATAGTTAATCCCCAAAGGATATAGAAAACACAAAAAGCTACCAGCCTAGCATGGTCGTCCAAACAGAAAGCATGACTGGATGGACTAAGTTGACTTTATGAACTACTTTATTGTAAAGGAAAACCTTTCAAATTTAAAAGAACATTTCTCCCCCGTTCCCTTTGTAGCCGAGGAAGCTAAGTTTCAATCCCTCCTGAGATATATGCCATGCCTGCATTCCTTCTGTAGGATAAAACTACCTCTTAAATGACCATTCCCCTGATTGTCCCTCTTCCTCCTTTCTCCCAAGGTCATTCCCATATATTATTACAAAAATGGAAACCATGGTAAGTGATGCTGCATATATCCTCCTGTAAAAAGGCAATGATGATAAGGAATTGGGGTATGCACAAAATGAAAAAAAAAAGAGTTTCCCTTCAAGTTTGGAACAAAGATTCACCCAGAACATTGCAATTTGTTTACGCTCCAGTGCCTATGCTTTTGTTTGGAGCCAAATCTGGATCATATTTTGCCCTCTATGATGGAAGCGGGGGACTCCTTCCTAAATATGTCTCTTTCCTTCAAAGGCAAATGTTTAAAGGAGCATTGTCTTCCCTTTCTCCACTTTTCATCAGTATTCAGCTCCATCTGGTTCCATTATCATCCATATTTCACGGGTGCAAAGCAGGCAAAAGGAGCTGGAATTCCAGCTGGTGCTGCAGACGGCAGGTTTCAACTAAGGTCCCAGAGGAGGATGCTTCACTGTGAGCTTATTGAACCAGGAATATGAAACAATCTGGTCTGTAAAACTAGTGGGGGCTGGTCTGAAAAAAACATAGTTGGAAGGATCCTGCTTGATTCTGCCTATTTGCCTGCTGTGGATTGGTCCCAAGTAGGACATCTGTCATTAAGTTAAGGGAAAATCATCAGTATATTTGCTCCAAAATTATTGGGTTCAAAAATGCCCCTTCATCCATTACCATGCAAAATTCCTTTGAGGAAGAGAGTTGTCTGAGTTCTTGGGTTACTACTGGCTTTCTTTATCCTGTAAAATGATCCATACTATTAGTTGAGGGATCTTGCCAATCTAACGTTGGTATTCTTTTTCCATTGAGCAGGTACAAAACATCTCCCAATCCATGGAAGTGCTGGATCTTCGGACCTACCGGGATTTGCAATATGTCCGTAATACAGAATCGTTGATGAAAGGACTGGATTCTAGGCTGAAAGTGGCCACTGAGGGTCAAAAAAATCTGAATGTCAAAAGTTTCCAGGTAACTCTTTGCATGTCCCCCCCCCCCACCTGCCATTGCAAGTAGAGGGGAAAAAGTTTGTGCAGAATCAGTGCAAATCTGTCTGCTGTTTTCATAACTCTTCATTTCGTGTCGCAGGTTTAATTCGACCCCAGTTTCACATGCATTTTTCTATTTA